TGTTCTGTGCTCATTACAGGTAGCAAGATCTAAGACAGGGGTGAGGAACCTTTGGCCTTGAGGCCACGTATGGCCTTCTAAGTTCTTGGGTATGGTCTTTTGACTGAGTCCAAGTTTTACTGGACAAATCCTTTTGTTAAGAGATTTGTTCTGTGAAGTTTAGATTCAGTCAAAGGGCTGCACTTGAGGACCTAGAGGGCCACGTGTGGTTCCCCACCCCTGGTCTACGACAAAGAGCATGGGCAGCCCTCAAGTCTTGGAAGTGCTGCTTCTGGCCATGGAACTGGGGGGTCGCTCAGAATCTCAGAATCCGACAGGACTTTAATAACTATTAGTTCAACCTGTACGTGAACTGACCTCTAATGAAAGGGAGATCACAACCTCCTAAAGCAATCCCATTCCACCTGGGATCGGATTCAGAACTAGAAGCAACCTTAGAGACCCTTAAACCACTGCCCATGATCACACAGCTAATATGTATCTGGAGCCGGTCTTCCTGAGTCCCAGTGTACTGTTCTATGCACTGGGCCACGATGCCTCGCCATTTTTGGAAAGCTCCCATTGTTGGGAATGTTCTTCCTTTTACTGAGCCAAATTCTGCCTCTCTGCTCCCTGCTCTTGGTTCTGCCTTCTGGGGCCAAGCCAGACAAGGCTAATCCTCCTTCTACATGTCGCTATCTTGTAGGTCTCTCTACTCCCTCAGAGCCTCAGTTTCCTCAACTGTGAAATAGGGTGCTGGTAAGAAAATGATATAGGAGCTATCCTTCTGTAAAGATACCCTGTGAATTCTTCCCTATAATCCCTGTTACACGCAGTTTCCCAGCTTCCTTTCAAAGAGCCACAACCCTGTAAGAATCCTAAGCAGAAAGGAGGACATTTCCCATCATGAATGGCTAAAGGAAACAAACTTCACCATATTAATTCTGAAAATAATTTCCCCTGATTCACTGGTTGCCAGTCAAAGCCCCCATCAGGCTTTGAGCCTCCATCACATTCCTTGTGAAGAAGAGTACCACAGGGATGGGGTCAGGGCAGCGCCTCCAGGTACCCTCATATGAACCATCAGGGAACCACTTTCATCGCTAGCTGGACACTCAAGGTTAAGACTCAAAGATGGAACTGAATGAATCCAAGGATTGGCTATATGGCGCCAAGTTATTTCAGGCCCTGACCTCCTGCCAGGCCCCAGTGTGTCCTCCACCCTCCTTGCTGATCTTCTTACGCATGGGAGCTGTGGCATCGTCTCCACATTCGGTGGCCAAAATGGTACCAAACAGGAAGCCAGTATCCAGAGGTCACAAGGACGTGGACGTCTGCACCAAATTCACCAGCACAAGCTACACTAGCCAGGGCAGCCACACCTGGATCCAATCACAGACTCACAGAAACTCATGTAATTCGAAGAGCTGAGAGGGAGGAAGCTAAGAACACAGAGAGGCAGAGTGGGGAGGGAACTCGGAACACCAGCATGTGAAGAGAACTTGGAACACAGAACATTGGAGGGTGAAGGGACCTCAGAACACAGAACATCAGAGTGTAGAGGGAACACAGAAACCATTCATTCACCAGGAATTCCTACTCGCCTACAGGCATGTCCTACAGGTTCCGTGGAAGATGCTATGGAGACAAAGTAAAAAGGAGACTCCCTGCCTTTGGGGACTTGGGAGTCCTTAGGTTAGACTTCCTGAGTCTCTAGAGGGATTCTCAGTGGGGTAGGGGGTGAGGAAGGAGAGCATTCCAGGTGTGGAGGACAGTAGGAAAATAAAGAGCTAGGATGTTATGTACAGGGAATAGTGAGTAGATGAGCTAGTCTAGGAGGCAGCTAGGATAGAGTGCCAGGCCTGGAGGCAGGAAGACCCGTGTTCAGATCTGCCCTCAGACACTTACTATGTGCCCCTGGGCAAGTCACATAACCCTGTTTGCCTTAATCCACTGAAGAAGGCAATGGCAAACCACTGCAGTATCTTTGCCAAGAAAACTCCACAGATAGTAGTGACATGCTACGGTCTACAGGGTCACAGAGAGTAGTCGGACACAACTCAACAACAGAGGCTAGTCCAACCCCTTCACTCTGGAACAACAGATGCAATATGCTCAACCTGGAGGTAGGAGAGCCGGGTTCAAAACCCATCTCGGACATTTACTTGCTATGTGTCCCAGGACAAGTCATTCAGATTTCCCTGACTTGGTTTTCTCATCTGTAAAGGGAGAATAACATTTAAAGCACTTACTTCCCCTGGCTGTTATGAGGGAATTACTTTGCAAACCTCAAATGGCTATAGAAAGGTCAGCTCTTATGATGGGGAAACTGAGGCTGAGAGGAAGCGAGTGACCTAACAGCACACAGCAGGTCATTAGCGTCCTTAGGCCCAGCGGCCTACTCTCCTGTCTCTAAACACCCAGTTATTCTATAAACACGCTGTACATCCTTGGTTACTGACAGGCTGTCTCCCCCACTAGAACGTATGGGTTCTGAGGGCAAGGACTGTCGTTGCCTTTCTCTGTATCTTTGGGGCTTGGTACAGTGGTTGGCAAACCATAAGCATTTAATAAATGCTTCCTGACTGACTGAGTGATCTCAGGTTCCGCGCTCTACTATTTCAACAACTTCCTCAACCCAAGACTCTGCCTTTCAGTTTTCCCTCCCTCCACGTCTCAGTTCCTATGTTTGCTACACAAAGGTATTTGCTGCCCTTCATCTGACTGGAATCATGGCATCTCAGCATGGGAAGGAACTCAGACCATCTGGTTCCACTGTTACTTGAGGCAGCCATCCCAGCCAGCCAAGGGGTCAGGCAGCCTCTGCCTCAGGACTCCCGGGAATGGAGTACTCACTGCCTGTGGACAACCCATGCCACTTCTGGAGAGCTCTCTCATTAGGAAGCTGTTGGTTTTTTTCTCATAACGAGCCCGAATTTACCTCTCGGAAAGTTCTATCCACTGCTGCTCTCTGCCCTCTGCCCCATGACAGCTCTTTAGACATCTGGAGCCAGTTTCCATATCCTCCTCCCCCTGAATCTTTTCTTCTGCAGTTAAACATCCCCAGTTCCTTCAGTTGAAAGTCAATGACATGGGCCACAGTCCCTCCCCAACCCAGTCACCTTCAACTACAGATGCTCTAGCTCCTCAGGGTCTCTCCTAAAATGCACTATCTAGAACTGACATCTGAATTCACATATGTCGAGATCTATGCAGAAGATGGCATGACAATGGCCTCCTTCAATGTAGATGCTAGGCTTTGCTCCTTTCAGCAGGACCCAGGCTGCTACCTCCTAGACTGCAGTGATGCCAGGTCCTGCCCCTAAGGGTACCAATGGGTGGGGGAAGGGAGGGAGGTTGCCTTGGGTTAGTTCCCAGCCAGGATGTGACGGCCAAGATTGCATGATCCACCATCAGACAAAGCATGACCCAATACATCCTGTCACACACTGATATCTGAAGGTGAGGCCTTTTCTCCTCCTCTATCTATTTCCAAAAATGGCCTTGTATCTCTTGCATATTGCCCCATTAGAATGCAAGCTCCCAGGAGCTTGTTTATTCCCTTGGCCTAAGATCACGTGGGTTTTTTAGACCTTCACATCCACCAAAGTTCCCTGTGGGAAAGGAGGCCATCTCTCCCAGGCCATCCTGTCACTGCCCACACTGCCTGGAAGAAACCTTTGCTCCCAAGGGATCTTTGGCTGTGGCAGCACCCACCACCCCCCTGGCTAGAACAGCAGCCTATCTGTGGAGCTGGGCTGCTGGCTCACATCTTCCTCTTGTTGGCTTCAAGAGCCCACAGGAAACACCTCCCTGGACCTCTCCAGAAGAATTCTGGACCCTCTTAAAGGCAGGGTCAGTTCTTCAGGCCACATAGTACACTTCTGTCCACTCTAGTCTGAATGACCTAGAAGCCTCCTAAGACCTCAGCTGCTATAAAACATTTCAGGTCTCGACCTCTCCACCCCTCACACTAAGGCAGCCCAGAGACACCCTGAAGGTAACTCCAAAGAGGGAACTGCTCCAACTGCTCCACCAGCCTGGAGTTTATCTCAGGGCTCACAGAAAGCTAAAGGATTCTGGGTCACTGGCACCCAGTCTCCCCCTCAAACAGATCACTGACAATCCTTCTGCGGAGGGTGGGGCAACCTACACAGACCCCTTTTACTTAGCAGGCCATGAAAGGAAAGAATCTTTGTGCCAATGAACAAAGCCCAGCATAGTGGCAGGGCCCAGTGGAGGTGGGGGAGCCACCACAGTACATCAGAGGATGAAGGAAGCTGAGGGCAGGAGAGCGGACAATGATACCAAGAGGGAGGGGCTGGGATGGACCTGGGCAGCTAGAGGTACAGAGGAGGGGGAGGAGGGAGGAAGGAAGGAAGGAAGGAAGAACACATTATGTTAGCTCTCCCCCTCCCTGCAGTTACCACTGATGAGTCAAATGATTTCCTGAGATGAGAAGCTGTGTGTGGTGCTCTACTATTCCCTGGACACCAGGGCTCCCCAGAGGCAGCTGGGATCTCACAAGTCCACTTCAAAGCCACTGTGATGGAGGAAGGAACCAACCACCTCCAGGAAGGCCCGGAGGTAACAAACACTCAAGCAGCAGCAGCTCAGCAGGAAGGAGCCGGAGGAGGCTGACACAGAGCTGCTGCAGTTTAAAATGCCAGCAGGGAATGCCTCTGGGAAACGGCACGATGGCTTACGTGGAGAGGAGGCAGCCAGAGCACAAAATGTGTGCAAGGAGAGCCAGGGATACTGGCCCACGAGATCTCCCATTCCCTATGAGTATCATTCACATTAATGGCAGCAGTAGTCACTGTCATTCATAGAACACTGTAAGGTCTGCAGTGGACTTTAAGCTTGGGGAGTGGAATCTTCCACTTCTTCCCTAGAATGCTGCCAACCAGCGGCCTTGGATCAGGGACTAGGTCAAACCCTATCCCCTCAGCACCTGGCCTCAGATATCTGGTTCAGCATGGGGCAGCTCAGACTGGGACTCAAAGGAAGGCAAGCCTCACCAATCTGTTTCTCCAGGGCGGCCGCCTCGTTGGGAGTAGCTCGGGGCAGGATCCCAGGATCAGTGAAACTTGTTTGCAGCAGGCAGCTCATGACGAAGAAGAAAAGCACGCTCCCGATGATGGGGATGGCCAGGGTCAGGTGGCGGGCCAGAAAAGGACAGCTGCAACAAAGAGACAGATTGGTCAGATGGCCCCACCATCACCCAGAGAGCTGGAGATGTCATCCTGACCTGAAAAGGGGCTGGCCTTCTAGGGAGTGACTTCACAGCCCAAACCAACAGGCTTAAAATGGTCGTCTAGAGACTCGTAGACTCACAGAGGTTCTCTGATCCCAATCTTGTAACCTCTCAAGTGAAGAGGCCCCTTTGGCCCTGGAGTTTCCAAAGACGCCCAGTCACCGCCATCGCTTAGGTAGTCCCGAGGCCTGTCCTTCAGCCAAGGGCAGCCCAGAAGAAGCCCCTGGGATTCAAAGCTGATCACACCGGCAGAGAGAGCCAGGACTACAGAACAACCTCCTGCCCCCGATTCCTCCCTCCTCCGTCCTTTATCCTGCTGTTAGAAGAATCTTTCTTACACACAGATCTGGACATATGACACTTGTGCTACAGATCCTTCAGCGGCTCCCTACTGCCTATGGAATTGCCTATGCTAGATGGACTGCGGGGCCTAGGGTCAGAAAGACTCAAGTTCAAATCCTGCCTCAGTCACCTACTTAGCTGTATGACCCTGAACAAGTCACACAACTCTCTCAGCCTCAGTTTCCTCATCTGTAAAATGGGGAGAGCAACAGCCCCTTCTTTCCAGGGTTGTTGTGAGGCTCAAAGAAGATAATGTATAAAGCACTTTGCAAACCTTAAAGCGCTTTCAAATCAAACTCCTAGGTCTGGTACTCAAGGCTCTCCAGGATCTGATACCACCCTATCTTTCCTGCCGTGACTCGACTGCGTCCTTCCATGGATTCCTACCCTCCAGTCAAATTGGACAAGCCTCTGGGGAGTGGAATCGTACTCCACGGGTCTCTCACTTATGTGCCTCTGTGGCTTTGCTCACCCTAGTCTCTCTGCCTGAAACATCTTCCCTCCTCCTCAACTGTTCACTTGTTACCCAACCCAAGGGCTGCCTCCTCCAGGGAGCTTTCCCAGCTCTACAAGTCAGTGATGGACCTTCTCCTTTGGCTTCATACTGCACTGGCTTTCTGTAACTTTCTAGTGCAGTGCAGAGATGTAATATTGTACAGAGTGCTCTATATTCGTGTCCTGGTCCTGTACAAGACTGTTAGCTCCATGAGGAGAGGGACTTCATCAAAGCTAAACTCTGCATTTCTTCCACAGTTGAGAAGGATTTGCCCAAAGAAAGACATACGTGTGCATGTGTCCCTCAAGAAAATGTCAGTTCCTTTGTTGATGGAACTCTACTGAAGTGGTCCAGCCATTCTGCACAGCACTTTGGAACGAAGCCTCACAGTCATTAAACTGTGCATATCTTTTGTCTCAGCAACACTGCTTCTGGGTTATACCCCAAGGAAATCAAAGAAAAAGGAAAAGGACACACATATCGAAACATATTTACAAGAGCTCTTTTTTGTGGTGGCAAAGAACTGAAAACTGAGGGGATGCCCATCAAATTGGGAATGTCTGAACAAGCTGTGGTATCTGATTGTGATGGAATACTACTGTGCCATAAGAAATAACAAGCAGCATGCTTTCCGAAAAACCTGGGAAGACAAATGAACTGATGCAAAGTGAAGTGAGCAGAATCAGGAGAACCCTGTACACAGTAACAGCAACATTATAACAATAATCAACTGTAAGGGCCTTAGCTACTCTGATCGATATAATGATGTGCAACAATTCCAAACAACTCATGCTATAAAATGTTACTCACCCTCAAAGAGAGAACGGATCACCTCTAAGTACAGAGTAAAGCACACTGTTTTTCACTTTATTTTTCTAGATTTTCTTTATTGTTGTTTGCAACATGGCCAATATGGAAATATGCTTAGCATAACTTCATATGATATTTCTTGTCTTCTCAATGGGTGGAGAAGGAGGTGACAGGAGGGAGAGAATTTAGGACTGAAAATAAAAACCTAAAAATACATATGCTCCAAAGGGTGTGAGTGAGTCAAAATAAACAAACAGATAAATGTATCATCACAGTGGCAGGTGGCAGGCAGCTCACTCTCTGGGCATATCTCCTAAGGTACCTACAATCATGAAAGCATTGCTTGCCCTGAGGGCCTGGTTTCCAGAGACAAGTCACCTGAGCAGCTAGGCTCTGTTCTATGAGCTTCACTGGGACCTGTTTTCAACGGAAGAAGCACAATCCCACAGCCCTCTGGCAGTGGTGTCACTCGTAAGAAGCAGGGATGCCTTGGGCCTTCTCCTTCTCCAGGGAGTCAATTTACATACATACAACCAGATATCTTGGGGGACCAATGAAGCTTCAAAAATTCTTCCCAGAGTCATCTATTCATATGACCACTGGCTAGAAGGGACCTCTGAGGTTACAAAATCTAAACAGCTTGTTTTTACAAATGAGGGGACAGAGGCCTAGAGAGGAAATGGCTTGGCCAAGATCACATGGTAAATGGCAGAATTAGGATTTCAACCCAGGTCCTCCAATTCCCAAATACAGTCATCCAACCCTCCTCATTTTACAGATGAGAAAACTGAAGCTTAGAGAAGAAAAGTATTTTGCCTAAGGTTGCACAGTTTGTCGGTGGCATAGGCAGGACTAAAACCTGGGTCCCCTAACTCTGAGTTCTGTTCTCGTTCCCTATGACCCCACTGTCACTGGGAAATCATCCACTAAAGGGGTGTTGTGTGCTGTTGACAACGACTATATGCTCACAACTCCCTTCAATGATCACATGATAGGATGATTCTTTGAGTGTACCCTTGTTCTCCCCATTGGTACAAATTACCAACATTCTTCTGCAACAGCAACCACCCCTGCTGCCCCACCGAGCCTTGGCCCAGTCCTCAAACACCCTAACCAAACTTCCACCTCTCACCCAGGAAGTAAAGAAAACAAAAACCTACCAGTTCATCCCCAAAGTTCTTGGTCTCATTCTTGTCTGAGAATGAGTAGGCATCAAATGATGATGCTCACCAGCCCAAGGGAATTCCCTGGCTAAATTGCCTGCCCCCAATTCCATATTCCAGAGCCGTAGGACTCCGCCACACCCAGCGCTCCTGAGACGTCTCAAAGAGATGGGAGTGCTCGGTCTCCTTCCTCCCTCTCACCAGGGTCCAAATGGGGTAGGAGGTCCTACCGGAAGGCACTGCCAAACTAAGTTCTCAACCAGCTTCAAAAGGAGCTAAAAAAGAAAACAGGCTGGTCTCCCACCTCCCCTTCTGCAGCCACTATAAGTGGGCATGTTGGGGGAAAAAAACAAAATTATTATGAAATAGATCGGAGGATCCCACTTAGAGCGGACAGGGTTCCTGTCCCATCCTCTTCTCACACCAACTCCTGAATGCTTTATCTTGCCCTGGCCTAGCAGGAAACAGAAACAGGGTAAACACAGAAGGGAAACTAGTTCATGTTAGGGGGTAAGGAAGAAAGTAACTTCTCTCTCACCTTTGCCCCACGTGATATCTGGAGCTGACTAATAAATGGTGCTGGAGGACATATCAGAGAATAAAAGCGGAGTGTTCTGCCACGTGTAAAGACAATGATGGAGTGACTGGGAAGGTCTTCCTAGGTCTTGGAAAAGATACCAAAGGGAAGGGAGGAAAAAGGGAGAGGGACAGAAGGGCAGAACAAGGTAGGGCTGGTCCAGGTAGGAGGCTATACAGAAAAATGTTCCTTAAGTTATGTACTCCGACACTTTGGAATGATTTTACCCTACCTGCAACATGGAAAGACTATTAATACCCAGGTCAGCCCTATTCCCACAAAAGAAATCTCCTGAGGACCCATAAGAGCAGCCACATAAAAGTACTGCGGGTTCTTCCCCAAGAAGATAACAAGAACTTGTCAGTATTAATAAATCAGGATGCTCTAGAGAGATGCTTACATGAGACAGGAGAATCAGGGCTGCAGAAATCAGAGAGTAGGTAAAAGAACACTGAGTAGGGAGACTGGGGAAGATTGTGGGGACCAAGGGAAAGGATGATCATGGCTCAGGAGATTCCAGAAGAAGACAAGAGGAGGGATGGCCAAAGAAGCCCAAAGGGTACTGAAGTAAAAGGAGGAGGAATATGGGAAGTCTGGGAAGGATCACAGGAGACACAAAAGTGACAAAGGAATGATGGAGTGTGGGGAAAGAAAGAGGATGAATCCTGAGGGAAGGAAAGGGTGGAGAATAATGGAGGTAGAAATGACTGAAGGGAAAAGTTTAATCAGAGGTTAGAGATAATTGAGAGGGCCAGAGGGATTAGAAAGGGCATGACTAAAGCAGGAGAGGGAAATGAGATAATTGAGAAGGCCAGGGGAGCCTGGGCTGGAAATGACCAAGAGAATTGGAGGAGATGGGGTTAAAAACCACAAAAACTAAGAGCTGGATGTCATTTCAGAGGGCATCTAAACCCTAGCTAGACCTATACAGGAATCCCATTTCCAACCTCCCCAAGAAGTGCTCTTTCAGAAGTCTCTTGAGGCCTCCAGTTAAGGGCAGGAACCCACCATCTCCTGAGGTGTCTCACTGCCTCACTAGACAGCACTAATCATTAAGAGATAGCTGAAGGGGAGGACAGCAGGAAGAGAATGGGAACTGAGATAGCCAAATGAACCAGAGGAGATTGGGGGAGGGGGAGGAGGAAGAAAGATGATTCAAAGGGGCCTGTTGGGGGGGGGTGAACAGAAATGACTCAAGAGGGTCCAAAGGAGACTGGACCAAGAAGAGATGATCCCAAGAGGGATAGAAGGAGAAGGGAAAAGAGAATATGACTCAAGTTGGACAGAAGGCACAGGGATGGGAGAAGATGGCCCAAGGGGGCCAGATAGGGTAGGGATGGAAGATGACCCAAAGAAGCCAGAGGATTTAGAGATAAAAGGAGATAAGCCAAGGGAGCCAGAGGGAATAGAGATAGGTGGAGGTGACCTGAGCCCATCAGAGGAGACAGAAGTAAAAGATGACCCAAGGCAGCCATAAGAAGTAGGGATGGGAGATGACCCAAAAGAGTCAGGGGGCAAAGGTCGACGGAGATAACCCAAGGGGGGTAGGGATGGAAGGAGATGAGGGGGCTGAGGGAGGGGCCGAGGGACAGGGAGGGAAGGAGATGACTCAAAGGGGGTTGTGAGCACAGGGATGGGTAGAGATTATGGGGAGGGTAGCAGATGGGGTAGGGATGGAAGGAGATGACCCAGGGTGGGCAGAGGGGTAGGGATGAAAGGAGATGGGGGGGGAGAGAACAGAGTGGTAGAGATGGAAGGAGATGGGAGGGTAGGGATGGAAAGAGATGGGGGGGTCAGTAAGCACAGGGATGGATGGGTAGAGATGATCTTGGCGGGGAAGGAGAAGCAGATGGGGTAGAGATGGAAGGAAGTGACCCAAGGGGGTAGGGATGGAAGGAGATGACCCAGCAGGGGCAGAGGGGTAGGGTGGAAGAAGATGATGGGGGGGGCAGAGGGGAGGGATGGAAGGAGATGGGGGGTTAGGGATGAAAGGAGATGACCCAAGGGGGTAGGGATGGAACAAGATGATGAGGGGGGCGCAGAGAGTAGGTATGGAAGGAGATGATGGGGGGGACAGAGGGTAGAGATGGAAGGAGATGACCCAAGGGGGGGTCAGTAAGCACAGAGATGAATGGGTAGAGATGATCTTGGAGGGGAGAGGAGGCAGATGGGGTAGTGATGGAAGGAGATGACCCAGCGGGGGTCAGTAAACATAGGGATGGGCAGAGATGATGGGGGGGAGGGGAGGCAGATGGGGTGGGGATGAAAGATGACCCAAGGCAGGCAGAGCAGTAGGGACGGGTAGAGATGACCCAAGCAGACAGAGGGAGCACGAACGGGGGAGCTGACCAAGGGGAACAGAGGACACGCAGGATGATGGTGACCACGGGGACCGAGGCGGGAGGGATGGGGATGACGGCCCTGGCCACAGATACAAGGGGATGGCGGCAGCCGGACGCGGGGGGAGGGGCCGCGCCCCCTACTCACTCACTCGAAGATGAAGAAGAGCGTCGTGGTGGTGACGATGAGCACGACGGTGAGCGCGAAGACGCTGCCGTGCCCGGCCAGCATGAGGCGGCCGCCGCAGTAGAAGCGGTTGCGGCCCGGGAACACCTCCCATTTGCGGCACGGCCGCACGGAGGCGGTGGACAAGGAGGCGGCGGCGGCGGGGCCAGGGCCCGAGCTCAGCCTGCGGGGCGTCGGGGGCGGCCCGGAGCCGGAGTGGGGGGCGCTGGGCGGCGGCGGCGGGGCGGCCCCGGGGCGGATCTGCTGGTACTCGCACTCCTTCATGCGGCCGCGGCCTGGGCTTCGCCTCCGCGCCCCCAGCCGGGCGGACGAGCGGACCGACAAGGCGGCCGGGCCGGGACCAGCTGCAGCTGCGGCGGCGGCGGCGGCGGCGGCGGCGGCGGCGGCGCACACAGCGCTCGCTCCGCGGCTCCGCAGCTTCTGTAGCTGCGCTCCGCCCCCTCGGCCGCTGCTGCCGCCGCCGCTGCTCCGCCGGCCTCCCGCCGCAGCGCCCCCTCAGGCGGGGCCCGGCATGGCGCCCAGCGCCCCAACGCTGAGGACCCGCCCCTCCGGCGCCGACCACGCCCCCAGCCTGCGAGCCCAGAAGCCGCCGTGCGGTCACCCGCCCCCAACCCAGACCCAGCGTTAGCCTCCAGCCATCCCAGACGCTGGTCCCACCTCTACCTCCCAACCGGATCCTGGACACCAGACCACTCCCTCCACCATCGCCAGGTCCTGCCCCACCTCTAGCCTAGACCCAGCTCGGTCTCCACCCCCTCCCGACCCAGGCCCCGCCCTCAACCCGGATCCGGCTTTTGCCCGGGCCGGAGCTTTGCCCGCACCCAACTCGACTCCGCCCCCTCCCGGATTTGGCCCCGCCTCCAAGGCGGCTGCGGCCACCGCCCGGCCCCGGCCCCGCCCCAGCATTAGCTCAGCCCCCTTCTACTTCCACCCGGAGCCTCCCAGCTCACCCCCCACGTTGGTGCGCCCCTGTCCCCAGCCTCACCCCTGTCCAGCGCTTGCCTGGCCCCGACTCCTCCCTCAAACCCGGATCCAGCCCTTGCTCAACTAACCTGTAGCCGTCACCCTGCTGCCCAGCCCCGTCTCTGCCCCGGGTTCTAATCGCCCCTCTTGTCCCCAAGTTCAGCCCCACTGCTCGGCCGCACTTCGGGGTACCTGTCTCAAGTCCCCAGCCCTCACCTCCCTGAACCAACCCAAAGCTAGCCCAAGGCCCCCCAGTCCCTAACTGACACCGTTTCATCCTGCAGACACCAGCTTAAACTGCCTGCCTCCCTCAGTCCTCCGGCAGAGGCTCCCCTCCTCAGCCAGGCCCCTTCGCCCTCCCTACACCCTCCCTACACCCTGCAAAGCTGATGCTCTTTATACTGCCTCCTCCCCCACCACCCACCTTCAACCTCCAGTCCTCCTCCACACTGCTCTCTGAGCCTGCTTGCTCCTCTCCTTCGCCCTTGCGAGAGCCCCCTAAGTGGCCCCTTTTCGACTTTCCCCCCTCCTTCCCACAGAGGCTGGAAATTTGCTGACCCCTTGACTTCGTCCGCGCTCATCTTCACCTTGTCTTTCTCTAAGTTTATCTCAGGTACCACTTCCTTCATGAAGGCTTCGTTGGTTCCTACAGTAGTTAATAGCCTCTCCCCACTTAATTTACCTTGCATTGTGTCTATTTCTGTGTAATTCCCCACCCATCCACCCAACCCCATACCAGCAGAATGAGGGCTTTTTGTTTCTGCAGACCCAGTAGGTAGCATAGTGCCTTGCACATATCAGGAGCTTGATAAATGTCTGTTTCATCTCATACCCATCAGATTGGGTTTACAATGGGTTTACAAAGTTTACAAAGGATTAAAATGGAGGAGCTGTGTAAAAACAGGCACACTAACAATGCACTTTTGGTGGGGCTGCAAACTGCTCCAACAGTTCTGGAAAACAATTTGGAAATATACTAGGAAAGTGGCTAAATTGCATTTATCCTTTGACCCTGTGATACTACTACTTGGCATGTACCCCTAAGAAGAGCAAAAAAAAAAAGGAAAAGGTCATATACACAGAGCAACATTTATAACTGCAGTTTTTGTAATGGCAAAGAATTGGAAGAAAAGTGGCTAATTACCGATTATAGAATGGCTCAGAAAATAAAGCAATTCACAGAGTATTAATAATAACCATGTTAGTTAACAATTATATTATCACTTTAAAGTTTGCAAAACACTTTCCATATATTATCTCATTTAATCCTCACAACAACCCTAAGAGGGAGGTGCTAATATGATCCTCATTTTACCATGAGGAAATTGAAGCACACAGAGGTTAAGTGACTTGCCCAGGGTCACACAGCCAGTGTCTGAAATGACCAATGTGCATTGGGAAGACATATGAACTGATACAGATTCAAATTAAATGAAACCAAGAGAACAATGTACATGAACACCATAAGGCTGCAGGGAAGAACATCACTGACAAACTCTGGGATGCTGATCAATGCAGCAGCTGACCTCATCTTCAGAGGACAGCCTCTTTAGAGAGTTGGCAGACCTCAGGTGTGGAAAGAGTTAGACACTGTCAGATATAACCAGTGTGTTGATTTATTTGGCTTAATTATACTTTGTTATAAAGGAGGCTTGTGTGTGTGTGTGTGTGTGTGTGTGTGTACATGGAAATCACTAGGGAAGTGACAGTGACATAAAAAATATTATCAGTAGAACATGTTTGTTTGGCTTGTCTACAAAGGGAGGCCAGATGACACTTTGTGGAGTAGATCCTTGCTGGGGGAACATGCTCTGTGAAATCCCTTCCAACTCTGAGTCTACTAAATATAATGAGGCCATCAGCTAGCTCTTCCTGGGCCCTGGTGGGAAGCATGCCACCACCTTTTATGAGGACCAGGCAGAATTCAGCTTGCTAGATCCCCTGGGGCACTTCTGTCCAAGGAGGGCAGTGTTCTGGGATTCCAATCCCTTTCCCCCCACTGCTACAGTTCCTTCTCTCCAGCAGAGAAATCAGTGTTGGGTTCCAAGCCAGAGGACCTGGATTCAAACACTAGCTCTTGCTGTGTGACCTTTGGCAAGTAACTTCCTTCTCTGGACCCAAGTTTCCTCCTTTGTAAAGTGGTGGTGGGTGGATTAGAGGATCTCTAAGGCCCCTTTCATTTATTAATCCTGTGAGCTTCCTTCCATCTTTGTGTCCAGGTCACAGTTGGGGAATTTGATGGGCACATAAATTCTTAGTTACTACCCTGCACAGAGGAGTCCTGACTGATTAGAGCAGGTCTAAGAAACAGACAAGAGATAGGTGTGTGTATAAATTAAGAAGGATGTACATATAGAAAGAAATGCTGAACATCTCTTTCCATAATCCACCCCCTCCCCATAAGGAAACAAAAAGATGTATGCACCTCTGGGTACAAGGAGAGTCTGGATCCTGCTTCAGCAAGGGCCCAGAAGGAAATGACTTGTCTCTGCAACAGCTGAAGCCCAACCCAGCTGGAGCATTGTTAGGCTTTAGGGTAAACAGCCTGCTTCCTGTCTTGGGGCCCTTCATGAAACTTTCCAAGCCTATTAAAGATGGCCATGGGATGGTAAAAAAGGACAGCTGCTGGCCATAAAACCAGCTCATCCTTGGGCCCCTCCAAGGTCAGAGACAAATGAGTCCCCCTTCCCAGCCCACCCGAAGAGAGGGGGCTACACTTAGCCAGCATTATCAGTTATCTTCGACTTTTTCTGTACCAAAGGGAAGACCTAGGGTAGACTCAGCCGTGGGGCTCCTGGTTTAGAAGGCAGGATTTCTCAGGCAGAGGCAAAGATTGGGGCCCCGGGGGGGGGGGGAGGGGGGGGAGAGGAGAGGAATCAATCCTTCTGTGTTAGCAAGAACAGCCAGAGGCCTCTCTCCTGGGAAGGCACTCCTCTCATCCTGGGTGGTCCCAATGAGGGCCCCTGCCACAGTGGGAGGTAAAGTGTGTGTATGTGTGGGGTGGGTGGGGAGGTTGGGGGGGTTAAAAGGCTTCCTGAGCAAAGATTTCATCACTCCTATCAGAGCCGAAAAACCAAGCAGACAGGAGTCCTGGGAGAAACAGCTGTTGGGGAAGAGAGCGAAAGGTCTCTGCCAACTGGAAAAACACTAGGGCAAGGGTGATTGTGCTGTGCCAAGGAGGGCACTCTTGGCAGGAGGCAGAGGGGCTGCCCCAATCTGTGTGTAGATTTTTCTCAAGCATTTGACTCCAAACCAAATTCTCAGTAGGACTAATGTTAGGGAGATGGATGAGAAGTGTTCCCTGGCCAAGCTGACCAGAAGCTCTGGGAGAAAGGGTGCTGGGGGCTCAGCCAGGAGCTTCCCTGGGCTGATGGGCTCTTAGCTTTCAGCCACGGGCAAAGAGAATGGGTCAAAATTCTCATTGTCAGGAGAATGCTTGGCTGGCTCCCAAATGGGGCAAAGCAACCCAGGAAAAAAGAAAAATCAATGTCCATCCTTACAGTTCAATGATGATAGCTCACATTCATGCAGTGCCTGAGGGCTTACAAAGAGTTTAAGAGATGCTGAGAAGTGAGTATTGTGAAAACTGGTATCCCTCTTTTACAGATGAGGAAGGTATGAAAGAAGAGAAGTGAGTTGCCCAAGGTCACACACAGCTGGGAAGGGTCTGGGGGGAGGGGGGAGGGGCATTAGAGCCTCACCTTCCTGGCCCTGGGGCCTGGCAGTCTATCCCACTGCCTCTCATTGCTTTGGGGGAAAGGGTTGGTAGCAAAAGAGATAACTATTTAATTCAACTTTGTAGGAAAATACAAAAGATTTACCTGCCAATATTGTTTTGCCCTCTCCACCTCAATGCTCCCACCAGACAGGTGCTACAGTGAACTTCAACCAACTGACTAGGGGTATTATTTTTGCCAACACCAGGCTCTAATATTTATTTAGAGGAAAACAAAAAACTCATGACTACTCATTAGATCTGGGGGAGGGAAGGCAGGGTATGGGAAGGATCTTATGAGTTCAAAGGTATGGGGAGTGGATAATCCCCCCTCCCCAAAGTCACAGGTCCCTTCCCCTTAAATTGGGTTTCTTTACCTTGATTGTGTCATGGACTCCTGCAGTCAGGTGAAACCTAGGGCCCCTTATAATGTTATTAAATGCATAAAATAAAATACAGAGGATTACAAAGAAAACTCATTATGTTGGAATAATGATCTATTTTTTTTCCTATCCAAGTTCATAGATATCCCTGAAATCTCTCCATGAACCCCCTGGTTAAGAACCCCTACCTAAAATGTACAGACTGGGGATGATTCCACAGGTCAAGGTAGGCAAGGAGGGCCTAAATTAACAAAAGATCACTGAGAAGCCTGGGCACTGGAGGGGACCTCAG